GAAACTACACGTGTGTGGCAACAAACAGACTGGGAGTACACAACGCCAGCGTGTTCCTCTACAGTGAGACACACACACACACACACACTCTCAGTCACACACTCTGATACACACACACACACACATGTTGGTTGGGTGGTGATGTATATGCAGTATGCAGCACTGGTTATATTATCCCCCCCCCCCCTAACCCCTCACAGCCCCCTGTAAACATGTTGAATGTCTGAACCCCCTGCTCTGTGCACGGGTGTGAATCAGTGTTTGTCTGATTTCTCCTATTTGGCATGTGGGTCTCTTTAATGTTTCTGATCATCAAACTAATGTCAACATCATTCCCATATAGTCAACACATCCTGCAGAAACTCCTCAGCCCTGTGTGAGAGTGTTTCCCCCTAATAAGCGGCTCTGCCAGCGTCAGCAGCTGCTCCTGCAGTCCAGTGTTCTCCGTAACTCACTGTGAGTGTCCAGCGCCGTGCAGGAGATCTGGACCCCTCATCTCTGCAGAACTACTGTGACTCTGACACAGTGGAGGGGTTTAAGCATGATCCACCTCTTCATGCCACGGTATCTCAATTGGATTCAGGTCAGGACTTTGACTAGGCCACTCCACAGTCTTCATGTAGTGGTTCTTCAGTCATTCAGAAGTGCGCTCGCCGCTGTTGTGTGTTTGGATCATTGTTCAGCTGTAGAACCCGAGCTCTCTTCATCTTGAGGTCTCTCACAGACGGTTGGGTGTTCTCCTGCAGGGAGTTCTGGTCACAGCAGAGTTCGTGGTTCTTCTTTCTCTGAAACGCAGTGTTACTATATGACAGTGTGTCTGGTCTTATACAGGGTTTCCCCAGACTCCTGGCCATCATTAAAGTGTTTTCTGGCCAGACTGAGTCGAGGTTCTGTGTTCTTTCTGTCAGCAGTGGTGTTTGTCTTGACCTCTGCCAGTCTCTTCTGTTGGTGGAGTCATGAGCAGTCGCCGTAACCGAGTCCTGCAGGTCTGTGTTGTTGTTGTTCATCCTCTGTGTCCTCTTGGATGAGTTGTGGCTGTGCTCTCTGGGTAGTTCTGGTCGTCTGGCCACGTCTCCACTGCTCTGAGTTCTGCTGTGTGCAGATAATGTCTCTCGCTGTGCTTCACTGCAGTCCCAAAGCTTTAGAAATGGCTTATAACCTTTCCCAGACTGGAAGATTGTCCTTTGAATTTCTGTGGATCTCAGACTCTGAGGATCTGTTGGTCTACTTGACTTTGTCAGGCAGGTCCTGTTTAAGTGATTTCTGCATGGTGAACAGGTGAGACCTGGCTGTGGATGCAGATGCAGAACTCAGGTGTGGGAAAGCAGAGGTCAGTCATGGTTTAATAGGGGGAAAACACTAAGGGTGTACTCACACTATGTACAGCTGCCTTGAACCGGGCCTGGGCACGCTCGTCCCTCCTCCCGTCCCCCCCCGCAACCCACACTCACATGACATTCGGGCCTGAGCACTCTTCGTCATGATGATGCGCTGGTCAGTAGAGAAGCGCTCTCGCTCAGCTCAGTGGACTCTTCTTCAGGGATTTGGGTTTAGTGGTGTGATATGCAGAGACACACAGTCAGATCTCCTGCTGAACAGATCCGCCACTGCTGACGCTCAGAGTCCATCATGACGTGTTGCTGCTGCAGGAGTGAGGAGCTGTGCTGAGATCAGCTGTGCTGCAGTGAGGGCTGGAATAATCTACAACAGTGAGTGTTCACTAAACAGTGAGCATGATTAATAATCCAGATCACACAGATCTTACAGTCACGACTCGTCTTCAGTTTCAGGCTCAGGTGCTCTCTCCACTCACACACAAGCGCACCGCATCTGAGCCCAAGTGAACCGCGCTCTGGCACACCTCTTCCAACCGGGCCAGAGCCGGCCAAGTGAACCGTGCCTGAGCCCGATTCAGTGCCTCACACTTCTCTAATGATCTGGGAAACGGGCCTGAGCACGGTTTGGACAGTATAGTGTGAGTGCGCCCTTATTCACACAGAGCTGAGTAGTTCAGGATTTAGTTTTCCCTTAGTAATAAACACCTTAGCAACCACCTAGCAACACCTCAATAATAAAAACCTTCATGTCCAAACTGCAGGATGTGTTGACGTGTGTTATCTGGGACTGATGTTGACATTAGTTTGATGATCTGAAACATTACAGAGACACACATGTCAAATAAGAGAAAGCAGTAAAGGGGCAAACACTTGTTCACACCGGTGTGTGTAGTGCCGTACCATCACCAAGAGAACTGATTTAGATTTTGTAAAGCTGCTTTAAAAACAATATCTATGAACAATAATGGACAAATAAAGTGAATTGAGTTAAAGATAACAGTTATACTACTGTCATTATACAGAAGCCTGCATATATAAACCACATAAACCAGTACACAGATACCAGTGGTGGAGAGAGAACTGCACAATCATACTCACGGTAAAGCAGCATCACTTGCCTAAACATGCAGTGCAGAGTAACAGTGTCTGCTGTGAACATCACTCAGAGGATGAGCAAACAGTAGAGCTTCAACAGCAGTAGAGTGTTACGCTGTGTAAAGCTGATGTGTTTACATGTCATATGTGGAAGTGTGTAAACGTCACGTTCTGTAGTGCATCTAATGATTGTCCAGCAGGCACACAATGTCATCAGACGCTCATATTAGCTTAGATTTAGATTGGGATGTCAGGTGACCAAAATTCTGTCTCTAGCAATAACGACATTGAAATGATGTTGATATTTGGTTGTTGGAAAGTGGCCAAAATCCAACGTCAAGCCGACATCTTAAACCAGCATCATATTGACGTCAATACTGACATTTATTCATCAGGTATGGCAACCGAAATCCAACATCTAATAGACGTCATAGTGGTAACGTCCACACAACGTCAAGCTGTGACATCATCAGACGTTGATATTTGGTTGGTTTTAGGTTGGATGTTGGACTGAGTTGCAGCGTCCCCTTGACATTAGGGTACAACATCAGTCTGACATCATGCTGACGCCTTGTGCTGCTGGGTGTTTAAGGCCGTTTGGGTCATCATACAGTAAACATCCGCCATCTTCTCATCAGCAACATCATCTAATCAGTCTCTGGGTCAGTGTGCAGAGATTTTGGACATCTTCTTGAACACTTTTAATGCTTCCAAACAGTTTTCTGCAGTTGTGAGTGGCTCATGTGTTGAGGTAGATCATTATGAGGGGATTTGCCTTCTACAGTATGAGTGATTTGAGTGGACAGGAGAAACAGGACTGATTCCTCTAATCACCACAGACGAGGGATAATACAGGAGTGCTGCAGGATGAAGGACAGTAGTGGAGTAACAGCACTGATACTGCACTAAACATGAGCTCAAGGGAGAGTAAAAGCCAGCGGTGTGAAGCCACTAATTACAAATACTCAAACTACTGTCATTAATTACTTTTTCTCAGAAATTGAAGTTTGTTGAGTCGTTTTAAAAACGTGTGCTTTTACTCTCACTAGAGCTCATGTTTACTGCAGTATCTGTGCTCTTACTCTCACTGCTGTCCCTCATCCTGCATCACTACTGTATTATCTCTCGTCTATGGGAATTAGAGAAATCAGAGGAATGATTAATTAGAGGAATTAGAGAAATCAGTCCTGTCCACTCAAATCACACATAGAAGGTAAATCACCTCATAATGAACTACTTCAACACATGTGCACTTTACAATGCAGCAAACTGTCTGGAAGCATTAAGTGTCCAAGAAGATGTGCAAAATCTCTACACGCACTGACCCAGAGACTGTTTAGATCAGGGATGCCCAAACACAGGCTGTTTCTCAGTTCCAGGAATGCAGAGAGCGGACTTGTGTTCTTGTGGAGAGCGGTGTTGCCAGGTGTCCTCGGAAGAACAAACTCGGGAGAGCGCGAGGGCAGAGAACGCGTCCTTTGAGAAATGATGCTGCGTTCTTCCTGATGGTCACATGACCTTCACGTGTTTTAAATAGTAAATTATTTAAAGATTACAGCATTCATACAGGGATTTATTGTTTTCTGCCTTTTAAAAATATATACTTTGCATAAAAACATTATCAATATACTCTGCACAATATAAATAAAACAGATTTCAATGCGAATTTCAGCAAACAAACACCATTAATGTGTTTATTCCTTTATTAAGATGTTCATGTTAATATTTACCTTCACCGTTTCATTTAGGGGAAACTCCTGAGGTAAATAAGTGATATCTCTGAACTTTAATAATAAATCTAAATAAACTGCAGCGCTTCCCACCTCCAGTCGCAATGACTTCTGGGACTTCCAGAGCGAGTTCAGTGCTCAAGTCTGCATCAGTGCGTCCTCGATATCAAGAACACATCCAGGAAGTTTCACGCGTCCTCCGTACTTGCGGTCTTGAGTATTGGAACTGAACTTTGGCAGCTGATGATGACGTTACACAAGAACACGAGGACGCAAGACCGCTGAAAAACGCATATTGAGAAACAGCCACAGTCCTGGAGGGCCGGTGTCCTGCAGATTTCAGCTCCAACTTGCCTCAACACACCTGCACGGATGTTTCTAGAAAGCCTATATGAGCTTGATTAGCTAGCCCAGGTGCGTCTAATTGGGATTGGAACTAAACTTTGCAGGACACCGGGCCTCCAGCACAACCTGAAACACACCAAATATCAACGTTTAATGATGTCACAGCTTGACGTTGTGTGGACGTTACCACTATGACGTCTATCAGATGTTGGATTTTGGTTGCCATACCTGATGAATAAATGTCAGTATTTGACGTCAATATGATGCTGGTTTAAGATGTCGGCTCTACATTGGATTTTGGTCACTTTCTAACTACCTAAAATCAACCAAATATCAACGTTATATGAGGTCATTATTGGACATCAAAATAACGTTGTCCTTAGACACTGACTAGACATTGATTTTTGGTCACCTGACATCACAACCTAAATCTGACCTAATATTACATGATTATGACATTGTGTGCCTGCTGGACAATCACTAGATGCACTACAGAATGTGACGTTTACACACACACACACACACACACATAAATTACATGTAAATGCATCAACTTTTAACAGCGTAATACTCACTACTCACTACTCATGAGTACTTTTAAAAGAGCTACTTTTTACTCCTACTTTGAGTAATATTTACAACAGGTACTTTTACTCTACTCACACTACATTTTAGGCAAGTAATGCTACTTTTACTTCAGTATGCTTTTTCAGTTCTCTTTCCACCACTGGTAAAAGCACACAATTGTAAAACTACTGAGTAAAGCACAATTGCTGAGATAAACTACACAATTACAGTACTCTGAGTGTTTGTATTGTGTTACTTTACACCACTGACAGATACACTCACACACACAGACAGTCACACCGATACACTCACACACACACTAGTGTACTTCAGCTCATCCACCAGCAGAGGTCGCCATTCAACAACATCTGAATCTAACAGACCTGTGTGTGTGTGTCTCTCTCTCTCTCTCTCTCTCTCTCCGTGTGCGTGTGTGTGTGTGTGTGTGATGTCTCTCTCTCTCCCAGAACCAGGGATGGGGCGGGACATCAACTCGGCGGGCTGCATCTGTCAATCACTCTGGCTCCTCCTCCTGTGTGTGTCCTCAGCTCTTCTCCAGTGTTAATGATCAGTCGCTCTGAACACACTCGGTCGCCTCAGACTGTTCACTCGTCATCACACTCACCGTCACGCCGGGCCGGACCACACTCTGACTATCAGGACAGAAGACCAGAACACAGAGGAGAGGAGAAGAACTGAATATCCTGCTTTAACCGCTTCGAGATTTACTGACTTCCAGTGAGGCCTGGGGTGTGTGTTTCCGTCCGTCCGACAGTCTGAGAGCGTGTGTGTGTGTGTGTGTGTGTGTGTGTGTGTGAGTGTGTGTGTGTGTGTCCTGACAGATAACTGGAGCC